CACTTGGTGAATACCCGAGAGAAGAACAATTCTGTATTTGAGGCCAGATTCCTGCTACCACAATGACCCGAAATGGGAGGATAAACGAGGAAAATTGAGTTTATATAATGCTTGTATAACCTAGCTCAACACAGTACATGTTCTGGGTGAGGTCAGTAGTTCTCCTGGTCTGGCTACTGAGGAATGTCTCCAACACTAACGCCTACATTTCCCCCAACCACTCGAAGTAGCTTCTCCTTCACAACCTCGAGGCCCTTGTACTGGTAGCTCCTACCCTGAATCTGTAGGCAGCAGCGTTTCTGGAACAATCCACTCCTACTTCATATGTTTAGGAACTCCATTGGCCACCACGTCTGAGCTCACTCGTCTTGGGTGGTAGATTTACATAACTTGTTGCCTTAAGTATAGCTGTACTACTACACCCTCCACCACTGCTAGTACTCGTCACCATAATTACTACTGTACTTATTACAGTACTACCACTACAGTAACGTACTCCCAACCTCCATTACTGTACTGTCATTCACATTATATTACAACATTCCTATACAAGAAACCGTTGATTGTTTAACCCTTCACTAATAGTCCTCACAGCTACAGTAGATATATCTCCCTACAGTGTATACCCCGGTACCCTTAGTTATCTACATGCACAAGGGGATACAGACGGGATATACTATGACACTATTTAGCAGAAAATACAGCAGATAAACTGAATTACAACTCCTAACTGGGGCTGACATGTGACAAGTTTTGTTGCTGTATAGAAGTTATATACACCGAGAGGGGTAGAGGGCCTCAAACTGTACAAGACAAAGAACAAATTAATGGAAAGTGGAAGCAAACCATAAGTTGCAATTATATTGTACAACAAATAAAAAATCTGGAGAACAATTGCAAGTAGTGCCAATAAACTTGGAATAATAAAAAAAAAGTAACTGAAAAAGTTGCTATATTAAGTACATTTGAGAAACAAACACACTTGGAAATTTATAGTCAAATGCGAGACTGGGGGTAACTTAGGCATTGTTATACACAATTATATCAATGTACTGAAATATACAGCTCTGTTACGTCACCCTCAGACTGTCCCAGCTTCGTCCCGGACACTCGACTCTGGAGCCGGTGCTCTCACTCTCCTCCGGACTGACTGTTCATAATGCCTGAGATTTCTATCGTTATTTACAGAAGCTGGTCGGGCTATGGTGATTGACATTATGCGTATCGGGTTTATTTCTATATCTACAAACGTGTAAATACATTAAGTACTCTTTTGTAAGTTTCCATTCATTGCACTGTCAAAGGCGATTTTTGCAACTCTTTACTGGGAGAGCGATCTTAATAATACGATAATGCACACGATTCTGCGACGTCGGAGCGTCGGGGATCTCACGGGCTGAACACACTGAGCGAGAGGTGAGTACGCCGGCCAGGTTGGTGGCCTGAGTCATGAGGGTGTTCATGGAAGGATGGTCCATCCAGCGCCGCCCGGACGGGGGAGTGGTAGGTGGTGGCCACGTCCCTCACCTTCACTACCACGTGGAGAGGCGTGGTAGTGTGCCGCACCACCTGCTGGGTCACGTCCACCATGCGCTGCATCAGCTTCATACACGTCGACAGACACTGCAATAACGTGTCTTCGGATTCTGTGGCCGACTTGACGAATAACTTCGAGGCCGTTACGAACCGTCTCTATTCACTGGTGAGAGCCTCTCTGGCCTCCTGGAACTTTGCCTCGTCTTGAGTGGCGGTGCCGCTGAAACGCTCAGCTTCTGCACAGGTCGCTACCATCTCCGTCGGGGACTGACCGACCGCTCCCGTAAAACGGCGGAAGGCATCTCTAGACGCCGGAGGCATCACTTCTGCTTCTTCTAACGAATCTTGATCGAAGCTACCAGAGTCCGGGGAATCGTCCGGATCCGTGCCGTTGACCGTCTTGTTTTTGGGAGAGAGTTTTGGCGACTTCTTGGTTCAGGCGGTTTTTAAGAGCCACGCTGGAATTATCCAGTCCGGGCAGTCTCGAAGCAGTGGAATTTTTGTCGGCGGTTCGCACGGGACTTTTGATGCCGTTGGCGGTGGCCGGCGGCGATGCCGGAACTCTCCGAGCCGGCGACTGACTATTCTTGGCGGGGAGCCGAGGCTTAGGTTCGTCAGCATCGGCTGGCTGCCTTACGAGTGATTCTGGGAGTCTTTTGGGGGGAGCGAGTACCCTCTCGAGGCAGTGCTGGATTTAGACCTGTGGAGGCCCATGGGCAGCCAGCCTCTTTGTGGAGGGCCCCCTCATTATAACTACCCAAGAGGGTGGGGTGGCGAGTGAAGCGAGCCTAAACATCTGGGCGTTCCGGGGGGGCGCTATAAGCCCCCCGGGCAAATTGTGAAATTTGAGCATTTCTTAGGAGAATTTTGAAGCCATATGCAGTTACACTGAGGAAAGTAGAACATTGAGACATTTTTAATTAACTGTATATTTATTGATAGAGTACAAATTCCAAACACACACACAAAAGTGAGACATGACTGGAGTCATTCATGTGGTTTCAAGTCGGTTCATAGGAAAACCAGGTTTTCATGAATTTCAAGGAGTTGCCTGCCTAATTTCTATCACGCTTCTTGCTGAACATAGTTTTACGTGATGGATTAGATAAACATGAATTTTAAAGGATGAAAACAAAAATAATCCAAATAAAATATTGTAAGATGTGGAGGCCCCTGGGCAGCTGCCCACTTTGCCCACTCCTGAATCCAGCCCTGCCTCGAGGAGAAGTGGGACTGCTCGCGGGAGCCTTACGCCGGTAGGTCCGGAAGGAGCCATTAATTTGCCCGAAGGACGCAGACGGTGTGTGCCTGGCAGATTATTCGTAGGAGAAGTAGTTGGGCTGAGCTGTGGCTTGCGAAGTCTGGAAGGCACCGAGGGTGGCCGCTCTGAGTTATCTGGCGAGGGACTCCTTACGCGCTGGTGATGGTGAACGAAGGCCTTTGTTCTGCATACCTGCCTTCACATTGTCCTGAGGAAGAGAAATTTTATTTACTAAAATTAACAGATAATGCTTCATACATATTGCACGCACGCACGCACCATCAATTTTCTTCAATCAACCAAACTTATTAACATATTCAACTTTCTTTACTCAACCAACCACATCAACAGCACCAACCTCAATTATCATCCCATCGTGGCAAACACCAATCAATCATGGTGACACTACATATCCTACTATAATCTTACTTTCATCAGCAACAACTTCACCTCTCCCTCACATACAGTACACTGCCTATAGACAACAATCAGTATTTATCTAATACATTTTCTAACGTTCCTACATTGCTTTTCTAACGACTCTATCCGGGTCCTTAAATATCATAAAAACATTATCGATTTCATTAGATAATTTTACATGTAAGTTTTATGCTCCTTAATTTAAAAAGTGACCCACATAATCTCTTCCAAGTCTGGTTCCAAACTCTTCTTCCACTAGTACACTTTTCCTACCTTATATCTCAAAATCTTCCCTCTGTCATTCTATTGATTCTTTATTAAACATAATCAATACACTTTTGTTATTCTATTAAAACCAAGATTTATAACATCCCTATTCTGTATTATTCTAGGTAAATAGACAGTTTCAATATGATTACTAAAGAGATCCCATCTAACCGTTTCCTCTCTTTTAAGTTTTCTTTTATCACATTGAATCTTTATTTCTCTCAGCGTTAAACAGGATAACTCTGCCTCTCAGCTGTTACATTTACCAACTTCTCATAATAAAACCTTTACCTCCCTCTACCCTCGTCTTTTTTTCATATTGTATCCATGCTACCGATCGTATAAAGAATTAAACACATCAGTACATAAAATCAATTTTTTTTCCAATTCCCAAAAATAGAGAATATATTCAACTCCAGACTGGCTGAGCTGTAGTTCATTAATGATGTTTAGAGATTTATTGAAAATTTTAAGAGTAATTCTTCAGTAGAGGAATTCACTGGAGGACGACGCGAGAGAATCGTTACTGGAGGCTACCCTTTGTTTGGAGGGGGACCCCGGGGAGGCTTTGGCTTGGCTGACGTCTTCGCTGGAGGCCGAGGCTTTGGTGCTCGACTTCAGGATGGTGATGTAACTGGCGTGACTCGTCATGTCGTCTTGAGAGGCAGACTTGGAGAGGTTACCTGTGCTCATAGATATACTTCTCTGGATTTTTGACGAGGGACGAGAAGGCTTGGATTTCTTTGGGTTAGTCAGAGTGCCGGTTCGTGTGATGGGCGTTCGTGGAGGAGGGGGAGGTGGAGAGTCCTCCTATTTTCCCTCTGCCTTACTGGTTGGCACGGTCTTTTGGCGCTGAAGAGAAGAGGCGGTCCAGTTTCCCCCAGAGCTGAAGGTTCGTACTCTGGCCGTGACCGACGGATGCTTGGAGTCGCCGCTCTCCCGACTTCCGCCGGTATTTTTGGCACTCGTCATTTGTTGAGTGTCGAAACCTTTGAACATCTTATCATTTTCCTCTAATGCCTGTGCCAATTTGGCATGCAGTTCATGTCCTACATTAGAATTATTTGATCTCGGTAGCAACTGACGATTGTCTACGGAGGCACTTGAGGTAGGCAGACTACCGTAGGCAGTCCTGGGAGGAACTTCGAAGCGCCTCTGCAGAGATGCGACCTTCCCCGCTAGGTTGGCACGCTTGGCCATCGTCTCTGAGCTGACGTGCACCTCGCCCATGTCGTGGTCCTTCTCCCCGACCTCCATGTCGCTGTTGTCCTCGCACACCATCTGTAACGATAAACCAATTTAGCTCATTTTTGTACTAAAAAATTATATCTTAAAGTAAATACCTCCTACATCACTGTTTGTGATATACTTTCAGAAGGAAAGAACTAACAGCAAATACTTTAGGTAAAAACAAACATTTGCTGGTACGGCAGTAATGAATGTATCATGGGTTTGAGTCCTGGCTGAGACACACATGAGAAGGGTGTTATCCAGTGACACTCCCAAATATTATAGATTTCTTCCTGTACGAACACCTAACACTAGTGTTCACAGCAAATTAAAAAAGAACAGACCAACTGGCCCAGCAGCTAATAAACTTTTAAGTGGTGGAATGATAAATTAATAAATTAACAATATTCTTTTACTACAGGAGAAATCACAATAAAACTTAACCATTTTAACCCATTGAGTAACACATTTCTCCAACCTGAAAACAGTCTGACATTACCCATAACAAAACACCTAGAGTGATACTCCTCCTTAAAGAGATAAACAACCTGAGAGTCATACATACCACCAGGAAATGTGATTTTAAATGGCCTCCCTGTTTTCCTAAGTACCGTATTGTGTTGTATAAAACTGTACAGTATTTATTATAAACTCATAACTAATTATTACAGTGCGGTAATCTTCTTACACGATGATGTATGTTACACTGTACGGTAAATCAATAACATCTATGAACAGAAACAAATTCATTTAGTTCAGACAAACACTTCCACAGTACACTTACAGTAATACAGTATTGCATTTAATTGTAGAAAATTAGATGAACCTCACAACAACTCACCCTACTGATTCCTTCTTTGGCTCCGTATAATGTCGAACGACCTGTTGTCCTTCTCGTCCGAGGGTGGAGGAGGCGGCGGGATAATAAACGCAGAGATGTCGTACTCGTTCCCCATCTTACGGTTCTCCGCGCACGTCTGAAGTTTCTGTAAACGGCATCGTATATACAGAACAATTCTCTATTTGTAAATAAGGGAATATCTTGGAGTTCCATGTACTGTATAGTCATCAAAATGGATAAAAACAGCAGCATTATAATGAATGCATAATCACTACATTGCTTACCACACCTCCTTCAGCTGGTGGAGGAATGGTAAGGTTTGCAATGAAGGAATCTATATCTTCGCCCTCCTCTAAGTGAATGCCGGGCTGGCGTAGGGCGGCCAAGGTGAAGCTTGGATCCCTCGCTCCTCCGTTGCCACCCAAGCTTTTGTTGACTACCGCTCCTCCGGTCAGTGGGGAGAAGACGGAGTCACTGAAGACGATGCTGATATTAAGGCTGGTCGGGGAGGTGCTGTCCTCCGTGTCACTTGCTCCTGCTGGACACGTGTAAGACGAAGCTCAAGACCCAATGCTGGTTTTTATTACAGTGACTTATCGTTATTTTACCTTATCCTTCACGTACAATTTTATTTATACAGAACACGTCCTTGATTTTAATGTATACAAGTTTGTTACCTTACAACCTGAGTTATAAATCTTTTATATCTGGTATGAATTCTACCCTTGAAAAAATCCCAAATTAATGAGTCAAAATAAGTCTCTAAGTTAATATGTCAGTGTACGATGTGGGGAGAGTGGTGTCCCTGGTGTGTGGGTAGAGAGGTCCCCCTGGTGTGTGGGTAGAGAGGTGCACCTAGTGTGTGGGTAGAGAGGTGCACCTAGTGTGTGGGTAAAGAGGTGCACCTAGTGTGTGGGTAGAGAGGTGCACCTAGTGTGTGGGTAGAGAGGTGCACCTAGTGTGTGGGTTGAGAGGTGCACCTAGTGTGTGGGTAGAGAGGTGCACCTAGTGTGTGGGTAGAGAGGTGCACCTAGTGTGTGGGTAGAGAGGTGCACCTAGTGTGTGGGTAGAGAGGTGCACCTAGTGTGTGGGTAGAGAGGTGCACCTAGTGTGTGGGTAGAGAGGTGCACCTAGTGTGTGGGTAGAGAGGTGCACCTAGTGTGTGGGTAGAGAGGTGCACCTAGTGTGTGGGTAGAGAGGTGCACCTAGTGTGTGGGTAGAGAGGTGCACCTAGTGTGTGGGTAGAGAGGTGCCCCTGGTGTGTGGGTAGAGAGGTGCCCCTGGTGTGTGGGTAGAGAGGTGATCCTGGTGTGTGGGTAGAGAGGTGCCCCTGGTGTGTGGGTAGAGAGGTGCCCCTGGTGTGTGGGGTAGAGAGGTGTTCTGGTGTGGGTAGAGAGGTGCCCTGTGTGTGCGTAGAGAGGGTGTCCCTGGTGTGTGTGGGCAGAGTGGTGCCCCCTGGGTGTGGGGTAAAGAGGTGCCCCTGGTGTGTGGGGTGAAGAGGTGTCCCCTGGTGTGTGGGGTAGAGGGTGCCCCTGGTGTGTGTGGGGTAGAGAGGGAGCCCCTGGTGTGTGGGTAGAGAGGTGTCCCTGGTGTGTGTGGGGTAGAGAGGTGCCCTGGTGTGTGGGTGCAGAGGTGCCCCTGGTGTGTGTGGGGTAAAGAGGTGCCCCTGGTGTGTGGGTAAAGAGGTGCCCCTGGTGTGTGGGTAGAGAGGTGCCCCTGGTGTGTGGGTAGAGAAGTGCACCTGGTGTGTGGGTAGAGAGGTGCCCCTGGTGTGTGGGTAGAGAGGTGCCCCTGGTGTGTGGGTAGAGAAGTGCACCTGGTGTTTGGGTAGAGTGGTGTCCCTGGTGTGTGGGTAGAGTGGTGCCCCTGGTGTGTGAGGTGCACCTGGGAGTGTCAGCGGTGCACCTGGGAATGTCTGAGGTGTACCTGGGAGTGTCTGAGGTGTACCTGGGAGTGTCTGAGGTGTACCTGGGAGTGTCAGAGGAGTGCCTGGGAGTGTCAGTGGAGTACCTGGGAGTGTCGGAGGTGTACCTGGGAGTGTCAGGGGTGTACCAGGGAGTGTCAGAGGAGTACCTGGGAGTGTCATTGGAGTACCTGGGAGTGTCAGGAGGTGTACCTGGGAGTGTCAGAGGAGTACCAGGGAGTGTCGGAGGTGTACCCGGAGGTGTGGAGTGTCGGAGGTGTGGAGGTGTACCAGGGAGTGTCGGAGGTGTACCAGGGAGTGTCGGAGGTGTGGAGTGTCGGAGGTGTACCTGGGAGGTGTACCTGGGAGTGTCGGAGGTGTACCGGAGTGTCGGAGGTACCTGGGAGTGTCGGAGGTGTACCTGGGAGTGTCGGAGGTGTACCTGGGAGTGTCGGAGGTGTACCTGGGAGTGTCGGAGTGTACCTGGGAGTGTCGGAGGTGTACCTGGGAGTGTCTGGAGGTACCTGGGAGTGTCTGAGGTGTACCTGGGAGTGTCTGAGGTGTACCTGGGAGTGTGAGAGGTGTACCTGGGAGTGTGAGAGGTGTACCTGGGAGTGTGAGAGGTGTACCTGGGAGTGTGGAGAGGTGTACCTGGGAGTGTGAGAGGTGTACCTGGAGTGTGAGAGGTGTACCTGGGAGTGTGAGAGGTGTACCTGGGAGTGTGAGAGGTGTACCTGGGAGTGTGAGAGGGAGTGTGAGAGGTGTACCTGGGAGTGTGAGAGGTGTATCTGGGAGGTGAGAGGTGGAGGAGGTGTACCTGGGAGTGTCAGAGGTGTACCTGGGAGTGTCAGAGGTGTACCTGGGAGTGTGGGAGGTCAGAGGTGTACCTGGGAGTGTCAGAGGTGTACCGGGAGGTCAGAGGTACCTGGGAGTGTCAGGAGGTGTACCTGGGAGTGTCAGAGGTGTACCTGGGAGTGTCAGAGGTGTACCTGGGAGTGTCAGAGGTGTACCTGGGAGTGTCAGAGGTGTACCTGGGAGTGCCAGAGGTGTACCTGGGAGTGTCAGAGGTGTACCTGGGAGTGTCAGAGGTGTACCTGGGAGTGTCAGATGTGTACCTGGGAGTGTCAGAGGTGTACCTGGGAGTGTCAGAGGTGTACCTGGGAGTGTCAGAGGTGCACCTGGGAGTGTCAGAGGAGAACCAGGGAGTGTAAGAAGTGTACCTGGGAGTGTCAGTGGTGTACCACAGTAGGGTGTGTCATACGGAGGCGAATTTTTTTTTTTTTGAGTTTGAAAAATCGGCCCATGGTATTAATGATGTAGTTCTATGTGCAGAATCATGTGATATCTTCAGATTTGAAAAGTTTTCATTTTTAGCTAGGTAAATTTTAACTTGAATTCTTATGAAAATTCAGTATTCCCACACTTTTACCAACACCACTAAATAGCTTATTTTAAAGTAAAAGTAAATGCATTTCAGGTTAATTTATTAGGATGTTTATCTCAGAATAGTGAAACGAATGATCTTGACATTTATTAAATTCGCATTATTCCTTTAGAAAACAAAATCATCAAATACAAAAACCGTTTTACTATTACTTAATTCGGTGTTGCTGCACACCCTATAGAAAACATGTTCTTCTTGCTTCTGTTTTTACTCATCACCTCCCTGTTGACCACCTGAGCTCGGATGTAGCCTTCCCTCCTCTCATGGCTGTACACGTGACTGCTGGCCTCGCTCACTTGCTGTACACAACGCTCTATACTCTGGGTGTGCGAGGGCCAGGCAGGGACATGCATGGGGTTGTCCAGAAAAGCTCTGACTTGAACATTGGTGAGGCTGCAGGTAAGAGGGGGCTCACTGCCAGCCTGGATGTTATCCAGATCTATGAGATCAGTGAGGGTCTTTGGCACCTAGATTGACTTCAGGAGTCTTCCTGACCCTGAAGGAATCGTCACCAACTGATTCGTCATGCCCAGATCCTCTATAAGTCCTCTATATCCAAGATCTTTGACTGCCACTTCTTCTCTCCTCCTCATCTTACTGCAGAGCATTGTCTGCAGAACTGCCTCCTCGTGATGAACATACCAGGAAGATCTCTCACAGTCTGCTCCATTAATCTGAATGAATCCTTCTTGGCTGACTCTCAGAGCCTGCTGAAGAAAGAACATGCCCTCGGACCTTCGGAGAACGATGACTTGACCTGGGTGTTGAACCAATTTGGCAAGTAGACACTCACGATGAATTGGACAATAAGTCTCAGGTTGTGAAGCTGGTTCCCTTTCAGTTTATGATGAGCGACCCAAATTCTGCAGAACCTGAGAGCCGTTGTGAGCCACCTAGAATGTGAGACTGGACCTATCTGCAGGTAAGCAAGTCTATCAGGCATGACCCCAGTTTTGATGGCACTGCAAATCATGCAACCATAGTACTGGTCAGTACTCAGGTCGTCAATGACAGTATGTGCAAGCTCAACGAGTGGAGGGCCAACTGTGATTTTTTTCAAAGCTCGATTTATTTCTAACTCAGTGGCAGAGTCCAGCATCTGCCAAGAGGACCAGACCACCTGTTGTTTGAAAGAGTCTTGCCATCCACTGGATCAGATATGTCTGAGTGGCAACTCGTTGGTGTGGAGGTCACAAAACAATCCAGACCAGCTTCCTCCTGGCCTTCCGCTCTATCCACTGTATGACTCTTGCCACCGTGTTCGTGTGTTGGTGCTGTCCCTCCAATGGCCTGCAGGGTCTGGTCTATGTTCCTCTCTCTGAGCCAGTTCACAATGTTATCTGCCACTATCTCAGCTGGTTTCCTGATGTCATCTTTCTCTGGAGTGAAATGCCACAAATACTTCCCTCCTGGTTCACTGCAGCAGGAGTAGTGTTCCTCCTTCACCATGGCAGGGAACAACTTGTCAGAATCTCCAACTTTCATGAACACTTTAGTGTCATCCTTTCTCCCATCAAAGAACAAACAATTGATTTCCATTTTCTCTTATCCCCTTATCAAACTCCTCTTCTAGGTTACTGACAAGTTTCTCCTGAGCTCTCCTTACTTTGTTATGATCTATCACCAGGTGAACATCATCAGGTGTTATCAAACCACCGTCAATCCAGGCAGCTGTTGCTATCTCTGCAGTTTCTCTGAGACCAGTGTGGTGTCGCATGCTGGCCAGAGCTATGCTCGGGATATCTTTCCTATTTCGAATCTTATGCCTGGAAGGTTTGGGATCATTATT